TTTGTTAAATAAAATGTATAACTTGATGGTAAATCATGTTTGAAAAGTATAAGCAATGATAATAATGGTGTATAAATGAAAACCGATTGGTTTGACCAATATGGTTTAAATAAAAAAGCGATTGATATTGAACAGTATGATTGTATAACTAAAATGATTATCGTACCATATTGATATCCATTTGATATTGTATATCTTATATTGTATAACTGATATAAAACTTCGGCTCACCGATTTTCTAATTGAGTCAGCCGTATACTATTTGGTTTTTTATAACCATTTTATCCTATCAAACTAGGAAATTATAAATTTAAAAAACTATTAAACATGAACATGTTCTTTTTTACTTATTTTTTTCCTCAGTTTATTAGTTTCATTTAAAAATCTTATAAAAAATTAAGCAAAAACAATCACAACCAAATGTGAAGTAATTTTTACTATATAAGAAAATAAGGTCTAATATTATTTATCTTGGACACATGTCACAACCACATTCATTTTTTCTGACTAAACTTATTTTCTCTTGAACCATATATTTATTTTTTTACCCTCAAAGTCATTCACCTTGATTTCATACACGTGTCACTATTTTTCTTTATTTAATTTTTTTTCCGAGTCACATTGAATCTCCTACTACTTTTCCAATCACATTCCATTTCACCATTAAAAAAAACTTTTTTTTAAAAATACACATGTCATTCCCTCAAATCTTTCATTTCAATCTTTCACTTTCATTTTCAAAACTCTTCCTCTTTCCAAAGGATGTTTCATAATTTTAATAAAAAATTATTAAACAATATTCTATAACAATAATAATAACTTTAATATTGAACAAAATATTTTCTCCATTTAGTAATAATTTTAAAAGTAATGCACTCACTCGCATTCTATATACATTTTATTTTATGTATTTCAAAAGTAATCTACTCATCCTCACAAATTGTATTTATCTTTATATATTTCAATTTAAAATTCAAAGCGCAAGATTTCTACGTGACATGTGAATATTTTTTGTCCATCCATTTGTCGTTGCTTAGTAAATCACCATTTGTCCATCCATTTTTTGGTTAAAAAATTAATAGTGGATGAATTAATTTAATCTATTGACTATATAATAAAATAATTTTCTTCCATTAACTATATAATAAAATAAATTTCTCTCACTTCATCACTTGTTACTTTATCTTTAATTTGTTTCTCTCCTAAAAGGTTTTATGGTACTACCATGTACCTATCCACACTACATAATCACTTTTGTCCAATGTATATTTTAAAAATTAATAATAGTGATTATTTTAAAAATGTATTTTTTTGAAGAGGCAAATACACATGTAACACATGTGTTCTTAACGATGCAAATGTACGAGTAACATGTGTGTTTTAACTATGTGAATGCACATGTAATAACTGTGTTCTTAGCAATACCAATGTACGGGTAAGATGTGTGATTCTAAATATGCAAATGCAATGGTCGCATGTGTATTCTTAACAATATGAAAGCACGAGTAATATGTTTGTTTTTAATCATACGAATACATGTGTAATATGTGTTCTTAACCACGTGAATGCACATGTAATATATGTGTTTTTAATCATGCAACAAAAATATAATGATTTGTGGGAATGCACTAATTTTTACGGTAAAGATTGGAATGCGCAACAATTTATTTGTCTTACTTTTAACTATATAAAATTTAGAGGCACTTTAACTTTTAAAATTTATGTATTAATAGTGTATTTATTAAAAGTTATAAAGTCTGGTAGTAATATTTTTATTTTCTTAATCACTATTTAATTTATATTACAATGTTAATTATTATAACATTATTTCATAAAATGTAATCTAGTAGTAAAAAGTTATTTACATATACAATATAAGCTCTTTTATTTTAGTTCCCTTTAAGATAAAATTCCCACTCCATCCTAGATGATAGGAGTAATCATGATTTCATACCCGAAGAGAGCATTAGTGGAAAGAGTAAGTCTAACTATGGTGGAGAGAATAGTTATACCATAATAATAGAATGGAAACATGATGTTGGAGACCTTGTTGAAGAGAAGACTAAAACCTTATATGTTTAGGCCTATTAGAATGAAGTAGTAGCCCAAGTGAGTGAATGATTTTATTTAGAGTAATTAATTAAATTATAATTTCTTATGTTATTAATTCTTATGAACTTTGGGCCTGGAACTTATGAGCCCAATTAACTTGTTAACACCTAACTTTCTTATGTTACTAGTTAGGTACTACAAAATGCATGATAAATTTTCTCTTAATGGTCCTAGTTTTCCATATATCTATCTGCCTTTAGTATGTGGACTCTGAAAAGTTAGTCCAGAAATTGTCATTGTGATATCACTGTTACGTGGTATGTGTCCTTGTTTGTCGACTAAGCAATTTTAATTGTTTAGATGGTCGGACCTAAGTTTGGTCATGTATATCAATGCCTAGTGTCGGAGTGATAATAGTATATTCCTGAGAATAACCTGATAAAATTTCGGGGACGAAATTTCTTTTAGGGGGGAAGGATTGTAACATCCTGATTTTTGAGTCTTTAAAATTATAGTATCAGTCCTGGAAGTCTCGCTTGAGCGAGAAAGGATCACCTGGGAAGGTGAAATCCTGAACTATACTGGAGGATTCTCGCCCGAGCGAGAGTTGTCTCGCCTGGGCGAGAAATGACAATTTTGGGCTGTTAACACAGTGTAATCGATTACATGGTCCTTGTAATCGATTACATGCTGATATCTGATCAGACATGTGTAATTTTTATTATGTAATCGATTACACTATGCATGTAATCGATTACATCATATAAAAATATCGCCACTGTGAGATTCTCGCCTGAGCGAGAATCCCTCGCTTGGGCGAGAGCGTCCGAGCTATAAAAGTGAAAAAGGGGATCTAGAAACCCTAATATTCACTTTCTTTTCTCCCCTTTCACTCCTAGCGGCGACTCCTCATGGATTCCGACCATTCCCTCCACTAAACCTCAAAAACACATCAAACCTCTTCCTATTGCTTCTTAATGGAACATTGGAGTGCTTTGGAGAGGAAAAAGCAACAATGGAGGTTAAAGGAGATGGAGAGAGATGAAACTCTTTTGCGGAGCAACGGAGCTTACGCAACCTAAGGTGAGGGAGAAGACCATTGTGGTCTTAGAGTAATTCATTAGAGTCATCATTCTCCGATTTCCCTCAAGAATCGGAGCATATTAACGGGTAGAAACTCTTTTGGGTGTTTATGTCCCATGTGAAAGTATGTATTTCACCTAAGGATGTATTAACCATAAAAGTGGGAATATATGTGCGGGAAAACCGTTTATTTACATAAACCGCTATATGCTCATTTATGGTAATACACCTTCGTGAAAGCTGGTTCTAACGTTAATGTGTTATATGATGAAGAATATGTTGTGTGTGGTTTATTTATGATAATGTTGTGTTATGGATGGTTGATTTGTTATAAACATATATGGGTGTGTTTGTATCAATGATTGTGTGATGAGTTGTTGATTTGTTGATTTGTGGGTATATTTGTAATAATGTTTTGTGATGAAAGGTTTGTTGGCGATAAATGGACATAATTATATTATGTGATGAAGAGGTCGTGAGTAGTTTTTATTGTGGTAGGATATGAGATACATGGTGTTTATGACATTGATGTGGTGTCTTGTGTTTTGAGGAAGTTGCAATGTTAGAATAATGTAGTGGAAATATTATATTGTGATTGATGTTGTAGTATGGAGTTTGACCTGCCCTTCGTGGTATGGAGTTTGACCTGCCCTTCGTGGTAGGGAGATTGACCTGCCCTTCGTGGTATGGAGATTGACCTGCCCTTCGTGGTATGGAGTTTGACCTGCCCTTCGTGGTATGGAGATTGACCTGCCCTTCGTGGTATGGAGTTTGACCTGCCCTTCGTGGTATGAAGTTTGACCTGCCCTTCGTGGTATGGAGATTGACCTGCCCTTCGTGGTATGGAGTTTGACCTGCCCTTCGTGGTATGGAGTTTGACCTGCCCTTCGTGGTATGGAGTTTGACCTGCCCTTCGTGGTATGGAGATTGACCTGCCCTTCGTGGTATGGAGTTTGACCTGCCCTTCGTGGTATGGAGATTGACCTGCCCTTCGTGGTATGGAGTTTGACGTGCCCTTCGTGGTTTGGAGTTTGACCTGCCCTTCGTGGTATGGAGTTTGACCTGCCCTTCGTGGTATGGAGTTTGACCTGCCCTTCGTGGTATGGAGATTGACCTGCCCTTCGTGGTATGGAGTTTGACCTGCCCTTCGTGGTATGGAGTTTGACCTGCCCTTCGTGGTATGGAGTTTGACCTGCCCTTTGTGGTGTGGAGTTTGACCTGCCCTTCGTGGTATGGAGATTGACCTTGCCTTCGTGGTATGGATGTGACTTGCCTTGGTGGTATTGATCTGATTGGCCTTTGTGATATTGGGTTGTCGTAGGAGTATGGTATTGTTTTGGAAGTGTTGAATTGCCTAAGTAAAACGTGATAATTATATCGATTGAATATGTGAACATTATGTGGTTTAAGTATTGACTGGTATATAAATGATATATGTTTACTATGATTGATTTTAGATGATTGTATAGGTTGTTATACTTTAATGATATTACTCCATGTAATTCCACGCTACGGTCGCCGTAGTTGGTTCTTACTCCCTCCGCTTTTCCTTGTCTATGTGTTATATATGAGTTCAGGATGTGGCTGTTGCATCGTGGATGTTTGCTGATGGGAGTATAGACTGGAGTAGTCGTTTTTGTATTCCGAAATTATATTTGTATAATGTATGTAATATGAGAAATATGTTGAAGTAACTATGTTGTATAAATGAACTTTTTCGAAAGATGCAATAAGATTAGCATGAATACCTTTATCAGTGTTGTAATTGAAACAAAGGATAACTGTATGAATTATGGATTAGAATAGAATGTGATGTAATGTTTTTGATGAAAAAGTATTATTGATTATTTCCATATTTTGAATTGAGAAACTTAACTAATATTTACATTTAATAAAGTTTCAAAATTTTCGAGTTATGAAAATCGGGTCGTTACACTATAACAATAAGGTGATCAAGTATCTGCCACACAAAAGTCAAGAGTTACTTCAACCACTTAATATTCTAAATAAGGTATGAGAAGACTTATCAATCGATTTCATTAAATACTTACCTCATTCACAATGGATCTCATTTTATTGCACTACTATCAAAGTTCACTCTTGAGTCTCTAGCAGTCTAGCTCATCGATTCATGATTGAAATTTGTCGATTTCATGGTGGTCAACAATTGTCTTCAGACTTATATGGTATTTTACTTGATCTCACCCACCAAATTGGAATGCTCACTTGACTCTAGCTAAATATTGGTATAATACCAATCACCACTTGCATCTATTGGTTTATCCGCCAACCAGTGGATCAATTAAACATTGTTGACAAGAAAACAAATGTTAGCAAACTTAAAAATATATCTTACACATGCACAACAATAAGTGAAATCTCAAACGGACTCGGGGAAACATGATATTACCTTTCAGAAAATCAACAAACACTATTTTGGGCCCTTTCAGGTCGTAAGGTGTGTCGGACCAGTGGCTTATGAGCTCTTACTACTAGTCACAACTAAAATACACCATGACTTCCATGTATCGTTGTTGTGGTGTTTCTAGTGGATCTCCAATAATCATTCGTTGGTTCTTCTCTTGCTCATAGAGGAAGCAAGCAAAAAAACGAAGAGAAAGTAAACACACGTAAAAAGAAGTACACAAATATGCACTTAGTTGGGAATGGGAGTAATAATACAAACATTGACCAAAATAAATTGGGCACTCACGTGCTAGATATTTTTAAAGGCCCCAGACAATCTGTGTCATTAGATCTGTCAATAGGATCACACCCCTCAGATTCGTTGGACCTTCCTGGTGAAGCATTAAATTATAATTATTTAGAACAATTAAATTATAATTTTTTATGTTATTAATTTTCTGATGAACTTTGGTCCTGAAGCTTAAGAGCCCAATGAAGTTGTTAAACCTAATATTCTTATGTTATTATTGAGCTATTTCAGCAGCTGCTGTCAATCATTGATGAGTTTCCAGATATTTTAGGTTTCCTTTCTTAGTTCTTGAATTATTAGCAACTCGTAACTCTATAAAACAGTACAGTTCCTATTACATAACACTTCTTAACCCTCCCACACGTCAAGGAGGAATGTTCCAAATCATTAGGCTTTGGTTTATCATCACCACAATTGTATACTTTCTTAAGAAGTTTGTTGTTATATTTTGTATGAGATTAAACGTTTTTAAAGATATCACCATGTCTGTTACAACACTAAAAAGAGAATTATAAACTTATCCCAAAGTACTATGATTGGACTCTTCTCATAAATGAGGTGAGTAGTTAGTTCACCACTATGCTCAAGTCACTTTTGAATTTGAATGAAGTTAGGAACTTCTTTTTTAGGGAAATCGTAGGAAACTTCCTCAATAGAAGAGGCAATTACACCTTCAAAAATATTGATTCGGTTGTCGGTGCTTGAAATATATTATTGTATGAAGTTTCATATTGTATAATATTGAAATGAATGGGAGAAACCAATGTGTTGTACATGACTCAAGTCCATTGTTTTAACTTGCAAAAATATGAGGCTCGTAGGGTGCTAGAGTTTGAAATCTTTATTCTCTAATAATATATAATAGTAATCACTCAACACTCGCGAGGATGTAGACAAAATTAGCCTAATTTTGTTAACAATTTGTCATGTTTTCTTATCATCTATTTATTCTCTATGTTTTATTTTATTATTTGTGGTCAATGTTGCACAATGGTCGTTTCTGCTACACCAACAATTGGTATTAAAGCCAATTGATAGATGACTCTTAACCATACCTCCAGATTCATAGTGGACATGTTCAATGGAACTAGTAACTTTGGATTGGGGCAATGGAGGATGATGAACGTGTTGGCTAGACAAGGTCTATCAGAGGCATTATGCAAGAATACTATATGAGTTAAAGTAGAATAAACATGCAGGGTTATGGAGGAGACCACAACTAACTTGGATTCAAAACCACAACTAACTTGGATTGAGAACCACAATAGTCCATGTATTATAATGGGACCTAGATTGAGATAAGGACCCACTTGGAGTGTCAAGCTCTAAGACATGTCTCTCTCATTGAAAGAGATGATGATCTTGTATGAGAAGAGAAGTAGAGAATTCTTACGACATTCCCACGACAACAGAAAAGAATGTTAATTGCTAGTGGATCTATATAAGCACACAAACCCTGGCTAAATTTGGTGCAGAGTGTAACACAAACATTGATTTGGACGCAAAGTATAACTCGAATATTGATAGAGATGTACGATGTGCAAGCATTGACTTAGATGAAAAGGCGTGACACGAGCATTGCTCAACATTGAAGTAAGGTGTGCACCGTGAGTATACTCATTATAGTGGAGTGTGATAGTTCTTTTGAACTATGATTGTCAGAGTAGACAATAATGGTAGCGGTTGAGAATTTCCAATGAAACTTTATGATTTAGTTGGGTTGAGTATTGAAGAGGATGGTTGTTATGAATTTGTTGTAGAGGTTCCTTAATATCGAATAATTCCTAGCAACATAGGTCTAGGGAGCGTGTTTCGTTGGACGGTAGTACGAGAATTTGCAATACAAGTTTGGAGAGTTCGACTCATAATAAAATCACCGAGGATACTTGGAAAAGCTTATGCTAAAGGGAGAACACTCTTATGTAGATTTCTCAAGCTGTAGGATATTCGTCTATGTCAATCAAAATGAAGATTATTGATGATGTTTTAAATATATTATTTTACGAAGTCTCTTATTGCCTAGTATCGAAATGAAGAAAAAAACCAATGTCGTATACTCGACTCAAGTCCCTTAATATAACTTGCACCAATTATAAGCACCATGCGGGCCTTTGGCTCATGGGTGCTAGACTTTGTAATCTTTATTCTATAATAATATATATTAGTAGTCGCTAATGCTCCCAGAGATGTAGGTATAATTGGTCAAATCTAATTAACAAGTTCTCATGTTTTATTCTCTCTTGTTTATTCTCTGCACTTTATTTGATTGTTTGTGACCTACATTGCACAATGATCGCTTATGCTACACCAACATTTCATGAATAGTGATATCACTTTTAACTTACCATCTTTTATGAAGAGTCATGACTATCCATATTTTTCTTATTTCCAATTTTGCTTATTATAAAAGTAGAAACAAGGCCCTTGGCATCTACACAATACATAGGAGCTAATCAATTATGTTTATAATCATAAACTTTACTTAAATTATATTACTTTAATTAATTTGACTAACTAAAATAATGGACCTAATGTATTCAAACATTGCATGTATGATACAATTTTTTTAACAGAATTGAGTATGTTGTAGGTAGGATAAATTACAAAATTATATTTCTGTATGACATATTAATCTTATTTTCAATAGATATGCAGTCATGCACCCATTGACATCAATTTCAGGATAGAAGTTTTTTGAAGCCTAAACCAGCATGCTCCTTGGGTTGGCAAAAGCAGCTCAAAGGATTGGGCTCTTCTTGCTTAACTCACCTCCAAACCAAAGAAAACTAATGATCGAATTGTAGATAAAGGTTGTGACTAGAATCATTCTCTGGAAGGCTTGAGTTTCTACTTTTAAATTACTATAATTTTAATAATTAACCAAATCACCCAATTTAATGGAATTTGGAAATAAAACATATTGGTTTCAAAATAATAGAAACCCTTCTTTTCTCTAATATAAATCTAATTGTTATAAAAAATAGTGTATAACTAAAATATTCTTAATCTATTTTGAAAATAAAACATATGTAAAGTCAATTATTATAAAAAAAATTGAATGACAAAAATATTCTTAACCTAATAGTAGTAGTCTATACCAAATCAATTTTCAAGAAAAGTTAGTTCAAATGATGGAAATGGAAACTAACTTGAAATTGTGAGTTTCATATATTTAAAGTAGAGTGATATTCCTAAATTTTAGTAAAATTATATAAATAACATTTTTTTTATATTTATATAAATCAATTTTATTTATATATATATTACACTAATTATATCTGCACGATAAATAAGTTTGATCTTTAAACAAAAAATGGGTGTTGCATGTAATTAAGTAAACAAAATATGATATATTGCAAGTAGTATAAGAGTCAATGTCTCTTCAATCGTTTTGGTTCATTACACAATGAATAAATAATTCTAAGGAAATATTGTTTAAATCACTTTAATACTATATTGTACGAACCAAAAAATAATGAATGATTATTGACTTGTATTCTATTTGGACTTGTCTTCAGAGTAAATCATATTTTGTTTAACTTAATTGCACTTATCATCATTTTTTGTTTAAAATATTACATTTATCTATTCTACATTGATAATGAGTATAATGTATGTTTATAAACTAAGAGGTGTGTGTATGTATAAAAGAGGGATCACATCTTGTATCTCACAAAGTATATCACTCCATATGTCATTTGATGTAATCGGTCAGAAAAACATTTAATTATTAAATTTTTAACTTAAATATATATTTTTTAACCAATCATAATAAGTATCACGTACAATGACACACTTTGTGGGACATAAGATATACTTCCAGAAAATGAAGGAATATGTAATTTTACTAAAATTCAAGTTTGTGTGTAATTTACTTTATTTATTATATAGATTGCAATATAATTACAAAATCACTTTCAATAAAAATCACCAAAAAATCACTTTCAATAAAAATTAAAATTAGTCTACTGCCAAATCTCAATTATAGGAAACGGCACCAATGAGAATAAAATTTGCTACATATATCACAAGGAAAAGACTACTCCAAGGTAAATTACATTCATATACTCTCTCATGAAATTATATAATTCATCTATTTATTTTTGTCCTTACATAAACCACATCTTTTTTACATGAATCACCCATAATTTTGTATATATATTTTATTGATTATCCATATATATAATTGTAATCTATTAAACAAAAAAATGTATGTTAATTATAATTAAGTTAAACAAAAAATGTATATTAATTATAATTAAGTTAAAAAAAAAATGTATATTGGGTAGACAATTCCAAATAGTATAAGAATTTATTTTTATTAGAATTCTAAATCCATGTTTATTTTTATTTTAAAAAGAAAATGAAAATAAGAGGAAAAAATTATCGGATATCATTAACTTATTCCAATTGACATTGTATTTTAAAAATGCAACTCAATTGATATCAAAACTCAATTGATATCAAATTTATTTGATTTTATTAGCTTATTTTTAGATTGCAATTTATTTGATTTGATTAACTTATTTTTAGATTGCAATCTTAATTTATTTGTCCACCAATTTTTTATCAAATCAAATTTCCAAAAATTACCAAAAAAACATTAGTCTAGTGGTGTTAGGGTCCGCTAGATCCCAGAATGACTAAAAAATTAAGTATTCAATTCCTTTGAGCGACATTTGTTGGAAGTCACACACCCAGAAATGGTAAGTTGAAGAGATACACTTGGTAGTACTAAAAAAATCTCTAAAGATTTAATTTTTTTAATAAAGTGATTTATGCAACACAATCAAATTGATATGAGAATTTCTAATTGGATTAATTTGCATATTTTCATATCGTAATCTTTAATTAATTTGTTGATCGAATTTTGATAAAAGCCAATCTCGAAAGATTCAAACTTTTATCATAAAATGTTTTGTCAAAATTAA